GAGGGAGGGAGGGAGGGAGGGAGGGGAAGGAAGGAAGAAAGAAAGGGAAAAATAAGTGTACTATAACCAGGCAGTGGTGGCAAACACCTTTAATCCCAGCATTCAGGAGGCAGAGGCAGGCAGATCTCTGCGTTCGAGGCCAGCCTGGTCTATAAGACCTAGTTCCAGGACAGGCTCCAAAGCTACAGAGAAACTCCGTCTCCAAAAAACCAAAACCAAAAAGAAGTGTACTATAAACTTGTATGAGCCTAAACTTCAGAATTAGCTCTGGGAGCTAGGCTGGCAGAGGAGGAAGTGACCTGGAAGTCTTATTGGTGCCATTGTTCGTGCACGAGGCGTGAATGCCATCAGACCACACTGGGTCAGGGACCGAGCAGTGTCTCTCGGGAGTTAGGCAGTGATGCACAGCTCCAGCAGCAAAACTGTTTCACCAAAGGGTACAGTCTAACCAGGGTCATGTGCGTGTCCAATCAGGACCAGGCTTGAAGCTGAGCAAGGGTCAGAAAACCTGAAGATGCAAGAGGGGACCCCCATGTCTCTGCTGGGCAGTCCTGGGTGCTGTCCCAGCAAACAACGTCCTTTCTTACTACAGAAGCCTAGGAGGACTTTCTCCCTTCCCACCTTACACTAGGAGATCTTTCAACGCGGGCCACACAAGCCCAGTTGGATCCAGTTGTCTGACTACACGTGAGCCAGGGCAGAGGCTGTCATTGGATGAGATCACAGGGCAGGCAGGTCCAGCCTGCCCACTGCTGTCAACACTTTCCAGGGGTGACCGTTTCACACCCAGTAGCATTCATTACTCACGTCTGCCATATTCCCAGTGTAACGGAAGCCAGCCACAGCAGTCCAACGATGAAGAATTTAGGCAAATAGAAGGTTAAGCATTTTCTTTCTCCCTAATAAATAAATAAATAAATAAATAGTAGGAAAAAATAAGAAACAGAGCAAACAGTGACTAGCCCCTAACAGAGCACAGTAGACCCCAAACACATCTACACAGCAGCGCAGGCCAGGGAGGGTCTCACGGTACCACTCATTCTGAAGGATGACCAGCATCGGACAAGGAGATGGCCTGTCGGCTTACCTGGACCCGTATCCCATGGTACACGCACAGCCAGAAGAGCAGCAGAGCACACAGGAACAGAGACTGGAAGAAGTCATCCAGCATCCCCGGGAACCAGCTGTTCACCAGGAAGGAGAGCGGGAAGAACGGGTCTGGAAGGCAGAAGACAGAACATGGCAAGGACAGAGCTGGCTGGCGCCCGCACAGAGCCGCAGCCTCGATCAGAGAAAGCACAGTGATGAACTCTGATCTCAAAGGTGATTTTGTCTTCTGAGTGTCCGGAAGCCACCGGGCCGACTGAAACAATGATCCTAACAGAGAGAGCGTCTGCTCCAGTGCCGCAGCTCAGGCAGCAAATGCTTTCTGGAATGGGGACAGAAGAGAGCCACACGCATGCACGGGCACCTCAGCCAAGTCCATGACTGCTGAGTCTGCAGGTCGTCCAAGCTCCACTACCCAGGCAGTTTGTGTCTGCTCGGGATCCAAGCATCTGCTATGGCTGTGTAACATGGTGCCTGGGAGCAGGGAGTCCCTGCGGACACAGCTGGGGTCTCTGGGACCAGGCCAGCTTTGGAGATGACTGCCAGCTCTGAATCTGGAGGGGGAGCTCCGAGATGAAAGTGGCACCCACCGTTGTAGAGCAGCAGCAGCGGCAGGAGGACCGACATCCACTTCTGCTCGATGCCCCAGTCTCTCATGGAGAACTTGCGCAGGGAATGCGCAAACAGGCACTGCAAAGCAAATGGCGGGTGGCTGTGTGCTGGGCGCTGCTCCCCGGCAGGGCGAGCCTCACCCCAGCAGGGAGGCACCAGGCAGGATCCACTGAGTCACTGGTTAGAGTGACGACTGAGGTCCCACCAGTTCTCGGAGACAGCCGAGACAAAAAACTGAGATTGCTGCATGGGACCACAGCTGAGACACGTTGCATGCTGGTTCCACAAGGCCGTGAACTCTGCAAACAGAGAGCATGCCCACCCCTTGCATTTCTGCTTGGGCTGCTTCGGTCAGGCCTGTTCCCACGCAGAGGCTCGCAGGGCTTCCCAGGGCACAAGCCCATCTGCAGATGCCACCAGGTCATCTACCCAGCAGGACAGTTGACAGAGGGCACCATGTACTAATGATGACATCAGGATCCCCAGGGGAAAGCCAGAGGCAAAGCCATGCCTCAGTCAGAGGCTGAGCATGTCTTCAAACACCTCCACTGCGTGTAGAGCCCTTGCGAGAAATGTCCTTAGACAGCTCAAACGCTGTGCGCATTCCATAGGGGTTATTTTTCTCTGTCATCTAATATAAACTAATAATTTCTGGGCTGCTTGAATTTCCTGGCCTGGGGCTGTTTTTTTTTTTCCCAGTACAGGTTATCTGCTAATGTTCAGGTCTCTTCTCCATTTAAGAACAATCTTAGGTCTGTGATTACCAATCTCTGGGCCCCAAGAGAATCCAGATACCAGACAGCCCTCAGACCAACTATGAGGTCAGCAGTCCACTTCTCTCTCCATGGCCCAGACAGGGCACAGCCACTCTAGCCTGACTCAAGGGTCTGGGCCCTGTCTCTATGCACCCACCCTTCAGTAGATGCCCGTGTGCAGCTCTCCACTGGGGCCGATAATATGCCAGGGGTGCAGAGACAGATATGACCACAGTCCCTGTCAGCACGAGGGTGCACAGCAGCTGACAACAGAACACGGCTGTCAGGTGTCAACCAGCCACTCAACAAGGTGCACTCCGTCTCGGATGTCTATACCCCTGTTCTCACGGACACCCTTTCTGTGCCTGAACATTTCCCCCATAGTGTGTGTGTGCTTGTGGGCACATTTCAGGTCCCAAATGAACCAGCAGCTTGCATTTGCAGAACCGTTTCTCTGCCAGCTTTTCCTTTAACCGCCCCAAAACTCAAATATTCAGAATAATTTTCCAAACACAAAAATCGAAAAGGAAGCTGCTGAGTGACCCTCCAACAAGGCCAACTCCTTTCCGTAAGGGTTAAGTGATGTTTCCAGTATTACAATGGGTATTTACTAGATGCCAGTGACCGACATCTCTTACACTACACAGAAACACCCATGGAATGATTCACCAACCAATCTTTTTGCAGCACATTGCCTCAGTGGACACAGACTGGCTAGTAATACCCAGATGGACCACTAGAGGGCCTCGCTCAGAGTCTGGGTAAAGCTCCCTGGAGCTTGCTCTCTGCCCACAGGAACTTCACAGACTAGCCTCATCCCCAGTGACGGGGGGCCAGAGCCCCAGGCACACGGTACTCACAGTGACGATGAAGGTGAGCACCACAAACACAAAGCGGAACCAGATCTCCAGCTGGGAAAACGTAGGGTTGTACGTCTTCCACTGAAACAGGAAACAGATGTGTGTTGGGGGGGTGGGGGGGAGGGGGGTGGGACGAGACTCAGGTGGGGTGGGTAGTGTGAGCATGCTCCCCAAGACAACAAAAGTCAGATCTGCACCCAAAGGGAGAAGTCCTGACTATCAGAAACAGTTATCCCTGGTGAGGGCACAGGGAGGGAGGCACACCCAACATTAGTAACCATCCCCGAGGAGTTCAAAATGCTTTTACCTTTTGTTTTCTCACAATGTTACAAAATTTTAAAAATTTTTATTTCTCTATTAAAGAACAGATAAAAAAAAAAAAGCCAGAAGATGGTGGTGTAGCACTTGGGAGGCAAAGACAGGGGGATCTCTGAGCTCGAGGCCAGCGTGGTCTACAGAGTGAGTTCCTTGACTGCCAGGGCTACACAGAGAAACCCTGTCTCAATCCCACCACCCAAAAAAAAAAAAAAAAATTTTAAATACTAAGAACTTTTTGAAATGGTTTTAAATAGTGAATCTGGCAGATAAATTATTCTATAGTCATTTGAATTTTAAATTTCCTATCAAAAGTCAGCCTTGACAGTCTTCACTAGAAAATGCCAGTCTGTACATGAAAAGAAAACAGACTTGTGTAGCATGCGTGTGAGAAGTATCTCCTGAAATACTTAAGGAAAGTATATAAATATGAATGTGCAGTCCTAACAGTCCTGTGGGCTGTACTGCCGAGTAGGCCCTGGCTTGCTTGGTCTGTGCTGCATGGCCCTGGCTTCTCCATTCTGTGCCATTTGTTTAAGCTATTCTTGGTTCCACACACTTAGAAAACTGGCTTTCCAAAATAAGCCATACGAGGCTCTGATGTTCCCGAGCACCTAACAAGGCAGCCACAGGAGCGTGTGGCTGGCTGTGTACTCACCGTGAAGTTCATCTCCCTGATGGGCTGGTTCAGGTGCTCAAATCCCACGGTCACTGTGTACTGCGTGTAATTCAGGTAGCCAAGGTGGGCCACAATGATTTCCGCACATTTCTGAAAGAAAGGAGGTTCCCGTCATCAAACAAGTGGAAAGGACCCTCCCACCCACAAGCCCAAGTGACTCATTCCAACAACAGATGAGCAGAACACATCATCTCAGGAGAACTCGCCAAAAGCTCGGCAAAAGGCAGATGCCAGCCAAGGACAGTCCCTAGAAAGCAAGCGCCCAACGGGCATTTCGTGACTTACTGTGATCAGAATCATCCTACTGCGGGTGACCGAAAGACAACATATCACCCGCATGAAAAGCTAACTATGCAAGAACACAAGCCTGGCTCATCTGTAAACGCGCTACTGCATGGGGGACCTGCATGCTTAGCTATGGCCTGGGCCCACTCTGCAATGCTGTGACCATGTGCAGTCTATGAGAAACGTATTTTTCTCTCCTCGATTTCAGCCTGCCGTTCCCTACATGGATCTCTGTAGTGATATTTTACTTGTGTTTTAATAAATAAAGCTTGCCTTAAGAACAGCGTGCAAAGTTAGCCACACTAGTGAGCCATACAGGCCTGTGGTGGTGGTGCACACCTTTAATCCCAGCACTAGAGAAGATTATAAAATGGGAGGAGAAAGGAGCTCAGGGTCTCAGTCTCCGTCTGAGGATTCCAGGAGGCAGGATCGCCTGTTTTGGTCTGGGGTAGAGGTAAGAGCCAGTGGCTGGCTGCTTTGCTTTTCTGACCTTCAGCTTGAACCCCAATATCTGTCTCTGGGGTTTTATTATTTGTGCTACAGATGTCTGTCTCCCCCACCACAAACACACCAAAAGCAAAGGCTGCGAGCAGTGGCGAGTTGATTGGTAGATGTGGATGCTTCACGGGCTACTGAGCCCCAGACTCTAGTCCTTCAGGATTAGGACTCGGGCCTGCTGCATGGCCAACCCTCCCACCAGGGTGTGGATGTGTACCCACAGAGGCCTGCAGGCACTCTCCACCATGGCTCTGCTCCGACCCAGCCACAAAGGCCTGCAGCATCTGGGTGGTCACACCCCCTCTGCAAGGGCAGTGGACCCCTCCCTGTTACTTTCACTGTGGCTCCCAACAGTAAGTCCCTCCACAGCCAGCCAGCTGGATGGCCCCTCAGAGCAGGCAGGAGCCCTTTGATTTACCCCTGTTCACAAGTCAAAGCAAGAGTCAGTTGTGATGACTCCAACCCGAGCAGCTACCTCCTCCTCGTCAGTGCTGGTTGCCTGCCCTCTCCACCTGTATGATTCTTACCCCCAGCAAAGCAATGTTCCCCTTCCTGCTGTGACTGTTGTCACAGGTGTCACTAAGGACTCAGCGGAACCAGGAACAGTCAGATTCAATGTCAGTAGCACACCAGTACACCTTCTGTGAGAAACTGACCGACCTTCCTTCTTCTTTTTCTTTTTTTTCTGAGACAAGGTTTATCTGCGTGTAGCCCTGGCCGCCCTGGACTCACTTTGTAGATCAGGCTGGTCTTAAACTCAGAGATTCGCCTGCCTCTCTGCCTCCTGAGTGCTGAGATTAAAGGCATGTGCCACCAACACCCAGCTGTCAGAGACATTTTTTACAGGTAAAACAATCTGCTGGGCAGTGGTGGTGCACGCCTTTAATCCCAGCACTCAGGAGGCAGAAGCAGGTGGATTTCTGTGAGTTCAAGATCAGTCTGGTCTACAGAGTGAGTTCCAGGACAGACCCAAAAGCTACACAGAGAAACCCTGCCTTCAAAAACCAAAACAACAACAACAACAACAACAACAACAACAAAAAAAACAAACAAAAAACAAGCAAAGGAATCCTTTGTAATTTAAATGTTTAAACACCAGAAGAGGGCATCAGATCCCCTGGAGCCTGGGCTATAGGAGGTTGCAGGCTACTTGATATGGCTGCTGGGAAATGAACTTGGGTCTCTGGAAGAGCAGCACACGACCTTCACACGAGCATCTCTCCAAGCAGAGGCATTTTTAGTAGGAGACAGAGCTCAGTTCAAATGTACTGCTACAGATGCCATAACGAAGCCGCTACCTGGTGATGTGTGGATCCCAGGGTCAAGCTATGCTCCGTCTGATTAGGAAGCATCTTGCAAAAGACCAGGGTTTTCTCACCACCTCAGGGTGCTAGTGCTTTCTGTTTGTTTGTTTTATATTAAATTAGCAATGAGAACTCGGGAGGTGGCTCCATGGAGAAAGTGCTCACTAAAGCATGAGGCCCAGAGTCCAGGTCTCCACCTCCTTCAATCCCAGCACTCTGGAGGACCCCAGAGCAAGGCTGCCTGCGGTGAGCTCTGGGCTCAAACAAGAGGACCTCACTTAATATAGAAGGTGCAGAATTATTGAGGAAGACACCCAGCACCAGTCTCTGACCTCTCTACCCATGTGCACAAACATGCACATACACACACTCCACACAGCCACACAAAACAGACATACACATACATACACTCCACACAGCCACACAAAACAGACATACACATACATACACTCCACACAGCCACACAAAACAGACATGTACATACATACACTCCACACAGCCACACAAAATAGACATGCATACATACATACACTTCACACGGCCACACAAAATAAACACGCATGCCTACACTTCACACACCACACAAAATAGACATGCACATACATACACTTCACATAGCCACACAAAATAAAAAGATTTCAAAAGCGTAAGAGGATGGCAAGTATCCATGCAACATAAAAATTTCTTGTTTTCTTGAATTAGGACAATTTCCTCGCAGCAGTAAGGGGAGAGCAGAGTGTCTAAGGAGTAGCGGGGAGATGTTTCCAGACAGTGACCAGTGTGCAGGGTGACCCACAGAAGCGCTCTGAAGGACCACTCTGAAGATAGCTGCGGGAGGCACATCCCAGGGGCAGTGATATAAGCTAGCCCCCAAATTGCTTGCTCTCCTTGAAGCCAAGAACTGAAATTCCTGTGTGCTGGGAAATGCACAGATGTGCAGGCCAGGGCGACTTGTCACAGTGAGCAGCTGTGTGTCCCAATCTGGTGGCCGAGGGAGACTCACTGACTCCTGCCTGGGACTGGGCCGTCTCCCGGGACTTTCACAAGTTCTCATTATTCATCTGGACTGACCCTGTGCCTCCTGCACACTGGATGGTAAGGACATGGGGGACCTTGATCCTGTCAACTTTCCCAAAACAGGCCAGAAGGGCTTAATCCCCCACAGACAAGAATATATTCCAGAAACTGGCTCAGGCTGCTTGCTTAGGAAGGGAGACACAGGGTAAGGGGCCAGCTAGGTCCCCAGCTGCCACCTGTCTGTGATGGGTATGGCTGTGGTTTCTGAGGTGAGGGCTGCTCCCCACCCCCAGTACAACTCACTCTTCCACAGCTCAGCACCCTCAGGCGGGGGGGTCTGGACCCTTTGAATCAGCAGAAAGGAACCACGAGAAGGGGGACTAGCCACTGCACAGGAGTTCTTCCCTGCTCGAGTCTCTTCTTGCAGGGAGAAATCAGCAGTGTTCTTACTGTTGGGAACTCGGCAGGATGCGTGTGTTAAAGCCACGCAGGCTTGTGGATAAAAGAGCGCCAGCTTAGATCCTGCCCCTCCCACTCAGTATCTGTGTCAACCTGCAACAATGGCTGTGACCTCTTGAAGCCTCTGTTTCTTCTTTTATAAAGTGGAATTGGAGAGTAGTTTCCACCCCGTGGACCTCCTGTGAGGATTTAATGAGTGGCATGCAGAAGATACTCAGCGTGAAACCTTGCAACCCACTCCAACATCCCGACTAGTTAGGCCTCTGATCAACACCTGCCTGTTCTGACCCCATCCAAGGGCGCCTGCTGCCAGGGACCTGCTGAGTCCTGATGTGGCTCCTGCCAGTGGCAGAGGTGGGGTCTGAGTGATTGGCTTCTGAACAGAATACAGTATTGATGAATAAAGGTGAGAGGTCATCCTATGCTGGATCCCTCAGCCGTCTACCATGTCCCACGCCAGATCCTAAAACAGTGGTCGCTGATCACAAAAAGGCCTGGGCACTCTGTCCCCCATTCACAGATGGACCAGAGCATTCAACAGCCAGGATAAACCACCGTGATCTAGACTGGCCCTGAACAGTGGCAGAGGTTCATCTGAGACCTGGCCTTCCACATCGCCTACTGACTGCAACCATCAGGTGTCACATGGACTCAGGGTTCGTGGCAGACTGAGTGTGCATGCACGTCTGTAGGCGTGTGTGTGTGTATGTGTGTGATTATATGACATTAAATGTTTCTGTGCGGCAAATGAAGTGATCATTAGAGTTAAGAGACAGACCACAGAATGGCGAGGTGGGTGAGGGTAGAGGTCTTCACCAACTCTCAGACAGGGGATTAATACTTAGACTACATAAAGAACCACAAAAACTAAACACCAAAACCCAAGTCATCCAATCAATAAATGAGCTAAAAAACTGAACACATAGCTCTCAAAGGAAGAAACATAAATCATCAGTGCTTCAAAATGTGTCCAACATCCTTAGTCATTAGGGAAATGCAAATTAAAGGTGCTTTGAGAGACCATCTTACCCTAGTCACAGTGGGTTATTAAGAAAACAGATTCCAACAGATTCTGGTGAGGAATGTGAGGAGAGAGGAGCTGGAGTCCCTGCTGGTAGGAAAGTAAACTATAGCCACTACTGATATGAGTGTGGAGGCTCTCAAAACACCGAAACTAGAGCTGCCCTATGAGCCAGCTACGGCGCTCCTGGGATATGCCGGCAGGACCTAAGCCAACACACCACAGAGACACGGCATATCTATGTTTATTGTTACATCGCTGACAGAAGCTGGGAAATGCAGTCAATCCAGATGTTCGTGGACAGACTAGAGAAGGAATCTGCTGCACATGAACTAAGTGGAATTTTATGTAACCAGAAGGAAATATGGAATCATGAGGGTCATGGGAAAATGGATGTAACTGGAAGGCAGTATGCTATGCAAAATAAGCCAGATTAAAAGAGACAAATACTGCATCCTTTATATGCAAAACCTATACTTAAATTTATGTATGTGAGTTTACACATGTGTGTATCTGTATGTGTTGTGCGTAGGTCATAAAACTAGAAAGAGGGTCACGAGAAGGAAGCGACCTTGAAGGAGGTGAGAAACAGAGGAGACAGGACACACAGTAAGAAAGCAGAAAGAGGGTCTAGTGGAAATGGATGGGTAGGAGCTGGGGCCCATGGGAAAGGGAACGGATGAGAACCAAGTATAACGGCATGTGTGTATGCAGACGGCAGGAGGAAACCCATTATTTGCATGCTATCTAATATTTTTAAATGCATTTTTGAAGCCTTCCCGTAGCTGTGCCTGTTTGCTGGATAAGCAGGTCTATAATAGCATTTGCAGCTGATGACTCACTGTGGGACATCAAACACACTCACCCCTGCGCATGTGAGGGTCCTCGTTCGATTGTGAACCTTGTTATGAATGTAGATCGTGGTTCCGTCTTGAGCCACACCATTGACTTTCACAGTCATGGAAAAGCTGGTTTGAATAGACGTTTCTACAAGAGAAAGAAGTTGATGAGACCACACTGGGCATAAATTAAATAACTTACAGAGAAATAGTTCTCTATTTCTGGTCAAAATTAGTTATATTTTTACTATAAAAAAAAGAGAACAGGACTGTTGAGATGGTTCAGTGGTAGTGTGGGAAGTCCTTCTGTGTAGGTGCTGTTTTTATTGGTTAATGAATAAAGAATCTTCCTTGGCCTCTGATAGGGCAGAATAGAGCTAGGTGGGGAAAACTAAACTGCTGAGAGACACATACAGATAGCCCAAGAGCATCCTAAGGCTACATTACCCCTTCTTCCGTGTTTGCAAGCCTTATGTCATTCAGCCAAGGGAAACCTTCGCTAACTCCCTCCATTGCTGAAGCACCCATGTTATGTTAAACCTGCATTTCTGATCCATTCTTCTCACTTTACATAAGAGCGCATGGCTATGAAATCACCCCTTTAATTCTCTGTAAGTTCTTTAATTTATACCAAGATGTAATCAGTTCTTTATTTCTGGTCAAAATTAGCTAATTATATTTTTGCTATAAAAAAAAAAGAGAACAGGGCTATTGAGATGGTTCAGTGGTAGTGTGGGAAGTCCTTTTGTGTAGATGTTGTTTTTATTGGTTAATGAATAAAGAATCTTCCTTGGCTGCTGATAGGGCAGAATAGAGCTAGGTGGGGAAAACTAAACTGAATGCTGAGAGAAAGAAGACAGAGTCAAAGGGAAGCCGTGTAGCTCCCACCAGAGAAAGACGGGCAGGAACCTTGCTGGTAAGCCACAGCCATGTGGCAATACATAGATGAAGAGAAATGGGTTAACCAAAGATATAAGAGCTAGCTAGTAATATGCTTAAGCTATTGGCCAAACAGTATTGCAAATAATATGGTTTCTGTGTGATTATTTCAGGAGTCTGGGCAGCTGGGAAACAAATTAGCAGCCCCCTGCCTACTGCTAAACCCAGCCAACAACCTCAGTTCCATATCAAGGACCCACATGGTGGAAGGAAAGAACTGACTCCCTAAAGTTGTCCTCTGACCTAATATCTATCTCTCTCTCTCTCTCTCTCTCTCTCTCTCTCTCTCTCTCTCTCTCTCTCTAATAAATAAATGCAATAGATTTTTAAAGAGAGAGAAAAAACAGTTTGAAAAGATGGCTCAGTATTTAAGAGTGCTTGCTGCTGAGGACTGGAATTCAGATCCAAGCCCGTATAAGAGTCCCACGCGTGCCTGTAACCCTTGCACCATGGAGACTGGACAGAGGAGATGAGGATGGCTGGGGCTTTCTGGCTTCCAATGCAGCTCAGAAAACATGAGCCTCAGGTTCAGGGAGAGATCGTGGCTCAAAAGAACAGGCAGAGGGTTGTATAGGAAGACACAGGATGCTCTCTTTTGGCTTCTGCACCAACACACAGAAGTGTATCCCCAGCCACACACATAAACAAGTATTTAAGCAAACAGACAAAAAAAAAAAAAAAAACACATAAAGGTGGCTTCACTGAATAATTACAATCCCACCCCAATAAGCATACTATTTTTTTTGGCCATCCTTCTTCTAGACCATCTTCTAAACACACAAGTTCTGATGTAAAACTTATTTTTGCCTTTTCTCACTTGTTTTACTATGGTCAAAGGATTGATTTTAAATTCTTTCCTGGAGTGTCTCAGCTGATCAGAGACCACCTTTACCTCTCAGCAGGATGAAGTAACCCTTGTGTCACGGATGACGCAGAAAAAAGTCTTTGAAAATAACAGTACCCCAGGGCTGGGCTTCTCAGCACCCTGCCCTTCCCCACCCCTCTGCTGCCCCCAGCTGCTGACTGGAGCGGCTGTGCACTACAAGTTGTCAGTGGTAGCCCCGGCCTCTCCCATGTCAAATTGTCCCCATACATTACCAAGTATCCCTGGGGATCAAAATCACGCCTTGGGGTATCAGGACATAATTCTCTCCCAGCCGCTCAGCTGTCCGCACCCTGACTCCCACTGGGACAAGGCAGAGGAGCTTCCAATCTTTCCTCATGTAGCCATGGGCATTTCCTACACATCTCTGCCAGCATGTGCCCAAATACTGTAAAGTCTTTCCACCTCTTCAGAATGAGAGTTTGCGCTAAACACAAGAAGCCACCCCAAACATCAGGTGCATACCTTCTGAGGGCTCCAGCTCGACCACACATGTCAGCCATAGTTGCTGGTTATATGTAGACAGTGGGTTTGAATGTATTTGAATCTGCCTTAGCTAAAGCAGAAGAGAAAACAAAGTCATCATGTGCCCTGTTCAGAGGCCCTGAACACCTCCGCTTTGTTTGTTTGTTTGTTTTGAGACAGGGTTTCTCTGTAGCTTTGGAGCCTGTCCTGGAACTTGCTCTGTAGACCAGGCTGGCCTCAAACTCACAGAGATCCACCTGCCTCTGCCTCCCGAGTGCTGGGACTAAAGGTGAACACTTCATCTTAATGTACAAACAGATGCTTTGCACACAGCTTGGAGCACGAGCCCCGACAAAGCTGGGAGGGCGTCCCTTTGCCAAGCACCAAGAATCAGTGTCCTAAAGAAATGCGCGGCTGGGCTGCACTGCCTTCCTGCCTCTCCAGGACTCTAGGCAGCAATTCCTACCACCAGCGTCTTCTAGACACCACAGGAAGCCACTGAAGGGGAAAAGGGCAGACTGAGGAGATACGAGGCATTAAGGGACCCCAGGGAACAGTGTTCCTATTCTCGGCAACATGTGTCTCCATCCCATCTCTGTGATAGCTGTAGACTGGGTATGTTGCTGGCTAGTGTCTGTTACTCCGGCATTAGAGACATCTTAGCCTACCTGCAGAGGGAAACGAGAGGACCATGTGAGAACTGTCACTCCACAGTGTCTCCTGGAAACACAACAGTGGTGTCTCAGGCAGAGGCTGTGGAGGGAGCTGGCGAAGGCGCCCATCTCCACTCCTCAAACCAGCGTTACTTGAAGACAGCAACTGTGGAGGTGAAAGTCTTGTTCCAGGCTGTCAGGGTCTTCACCAAACTTTCTGAGACCACACTTGCCAAAAGTCAGAGGAGGAGTGGAGGGGAGTGGAAGCTATTGGGTGTGTGTGTGGGGGGGGGAGATGTTGTCTTTCTCAAACAAGATGCTTGCATAGAAGCCCTGGGTTCCATGGGATGGCTTACTGTCAGAGAGAGAGACCCTGAGAGGCAGAGACTGGGAGACCCATGACTGTCAAGAAACTCATGGTGGTGCCTCTCCAAAGCTGACCCTCTGCCCCAGACCTCAAGACAACAAGAATGCAAAGAAACCTGGCCACCCAGAGGTCGTTCCAAGGCAGCAGCAGCAGAGCTAGAGATACACAGCTTTTTTTTCTCTGCCCTTTTAGAAATCATAAGGAGACCCATGCATGGTGACATATGCCTGTAATCCCAGCACTCGAGAGGCAGAGGCAGGTAGATTTCTGTGAGTTCAAGGCCAGCCTGATCTACACGTTGAGGTCCCGGCTAACCAGGGCTACAACGTGGAACCTTGCCGTAACAAACACAATGTTGTAAGAGAGCAGAAGGGAGGGCGAACAATGACCCCAAATCTACGGGTGCTGCGAACACCTGGCAGTACGCTCAGTTTACAGACTCCATGTAAGACCCTACCGGTCACTTCTCCAGTGGAGGTGGAATCAAGGCACATTTAAAGAGGGGGAACAGACTTCATTTAGGATGAGCTCATGCAGGGAATCCCAGCCAACAAAGAGAGCATTTGCTACTGGAACGAACACTGAACAAGTCGTGACTTGGACAAACACAGCAAAACGGTCAGTCCGTAAAGCGCTTCCATGCAGGCATGAGTACCCGAGTTCTGCTCCAGCAACCACCAGGCTGGGTGCCACACAGCTGGAGGCAGAGACAGGAGGATTCCTGGGCTCTCTGGCCAGCAGCCTAGCTGGCAAGCCCAAGTGCCAGTGAGGAACTCTGAACTCAAAACAAAACAAAACAAACAAACAAACAAACAGGCTGCAATTCCTGAAGACCAAACCCTTTAGTTAACCTCTGACCTTCACACACATGAACACACATGTACAGATACACAAATTAAGCTTTTTAAAGGAAGAGCCAGGTGCCTATGTAATCATTGTTAAAATAGCAAGTGTGACAGGCTTTCTGACGTGAGCAGTCAGCACAGGGCACAGCATTTGGAAGTCAGTTGTAGTTTCGTCAGAAGGAACACCAACGTCCTTCCGCTGCATCCTTCTGAGGACACCAGGGACCCCAGAAACGGGAATTTCAGTGACAAGAACCTGGCTGAGAAGTAAGAGCCGCGAAGAGCTCCAGAGCAGGAGAAGGGCGGTCTATCCTCCGACTCTCCCAGCAGGGCCACGTCTCAATGACCCCAAAGCTTATAGTGACCCGTCTGATGCTTGAGGCACCTCTTACCTTTCTGCTGTTATTTAGTGAGAAATTAGCAGCTGACTGCTGGATCACTCTGGGTCCTGAGAGTAACAAAGAGAAAGAAATTAGAGCAATTAACTTATTTATTTTTATACGAGAGAGACACATTAGACACGGTGATCTCATGTACTGCTCTTACTATTTCTTTTAGAGAGATTTTATGTCACTAGGTAGAATACCAAACACAGAACAGACAAGCACTCTGTTTGACACAACTTCCATGCACACGAAGGCGGAAGGCTCAACATGCCAAGGTGGGGTCTCCATGGACGCCCTCCATTGTCTCTACTAAGAGTCAAGTTAGCGCGTTCATGCGGTTAACCCAGTCGTCTAGAAATAGTAAGCAGAAGTGACAAAGTGACAGATATCCTGCAAAAGTACGGCACAGGGCTTTCTTGAAAGAGATGCTTTATGAAGCTCTTTCTTCCCCGACTTTACTGCAGTTACAAAGAACTAGTCATTATCAGCACATTTCAGAGGACAATTCAGCAGGATTAAGTACATCTCTACTGTGCAGACATGGCTACCCATTTCTGCAGCTCTCCTTGTAAAACCCAGTCTGCCCCACTAACCGACTCTGTGCTCCACCCCCTCTGCCCTGGTAACCTTCTCCATGGACCCCGGGTGAATAGAATCACACAGGGTTTATCAGCTTGGGACTGGTTTATGTCATCTAGTACAATGTCCTCATGACTCACGCTACAATGTATCTAAACTGTCTAATGTTTTCCTTTTTAAGCTTGTGTGCATGTGTGCCAGTGTGCGAGATCAGACGACAGCTCAAGGTGTCTTCTTTCAGAACTGTGAGGCTTGGCAGCAGGTTGCCACTGGCTTTATTCATTGAGCCATTGTTGACAGTTTCCTGCAGGGTCTCTTTAAACAGAAAGGTCAACAACTCAAAATAGCTTTAGGAAGTCCCTGAAACTGACCAGATTCACTAGGCCTCTCCCTACCAGAGTCAGCAATAAAAGCTGAGAGTCCTCCTCAGAGGAAGGGAAGTCGAGCTGTAGAGGAGATGGGGAGGAGAAAAGCTGTAAAGAGCCTGAGCCCAGACCAGCTGTCTGGAAGAAGCAGAAACCAGTCGAGCTGCCTGGAAGAGATTTAGACTGGAGTCACCTGGAAAAGACCCTCCCCAACCGGCTGAGCTGCCCACAGGCTCTGCGGTGTCCTCCAAGTTTCTTGGCTTTTGTGAGCTGTCATCCAGACTGGGTGGACTTGGTGATGCAGCTGTCTTTCAGCCATTTCTGCTCCTGTTAGCAACCCCTAGTTGGACTTTGGTGGTACCCATACTTTGGTCTGTCGTGGGCTCCCTGTTGGGGGTGAGTAAACACGTGTGTTCCATCTCCCCAGGCAAAGTCTTCTTGAGGCCTCACCGTCAAGACTGAATGATGTTCAAACAGAAAGTGGCTTTCCCACCACTATGAGATAACGGGAGCTTTTACAGTTACAACAGCCGCCTTTGCTAGACTAGGTGTATTTTACAGTTACAACAGCCGCCTTTGCTAGGCTAGGTGTATTTTACAGTTACAACAGCCGCCTTTGCTAGGCTAGGTGTATTTTACAGTTACAACAGCTGCCTTTGCTAGACTAGGTGTATTTTACAGTTACAACAGCCGCCTTTGCTAGACTAGGTGTTTCAACCTGCAGGCTCCTTTCCAGCAACCTGGAGCACCTGGCTAGTGGCAGTGACTCCCTTGGCTTTAGTTAGCCTGGGAATGTCTTACTCTCATCCCCACTTTTTCATGGGGTCTCAGTAGCCTTGACTGATGAAACAAATGATCAATCCTCCTGTCTCAGACACCCAAGTTCTAGAAACACAGGTGTGTGCCACCACACTCCGCCCTCTCCCCTTCACTTTTGAAGAACTTTTTTTGCCAGGCAGGATTCCTGGTTGGGAACTCTTCTAGCATACAGAAGACAGTCAGCCTGTCTTCTGCCCTGAACAATTCAGATAAGCTTCAGATAAGCGCTGGCAGCCTCACTGGAGATCCCTTGTCTGAGTCCCTCCGTCCTGCTGAGGGCAGGGTTCCATCTGGCTTAGGCTTCCTGCAGTTCAGCTACAGTTGTTCGGTATGAAACTGAATTTAGCCCACTTGAGCTCAGTAAGCTTCCTGGATATATTCACCTTTCATGCTGACTGTGCTGCTCCTTTGGAATCTCCAAATGTTCATTGTTTGGTTCCCAAAGGAAAAAAGGAGAGCCATCCAGGGGAAGGGAGGAGAAGGGCTAGCTATTCAAACTCCCTGGTTGTTGCCTCTGCTAGACAGGGCAGGGTTTACAAAGATGGAGGCCCTGAGTACATCAGCAATGGCTGCCTTGCCTTGCTCCGCCTCTGTGACGAGAAGCAGCAATTGAGGTGCAGAGCTCAGGTTCCCAGTTAGGGAGGACAGTCCTTTTGTCCACCTTAGTTCCTACAAGCTATATGCAGGCCGATCAGAACCGGAGCCAGCGTGGGTGTGAGGGTCTGCCACAGCAGTAAGGGCAGGACTGGCTGAAATCAATCACAGTGTAATGTCCAGCTGCCCCGCCCACCGGAAGTTACAAACCTCCAATAGACTCAGGCAGGTTCCATGGGGGGGGGGGGAGCACATTCCTCTCTCGACACTACCATCTTCCCAGAATCCCTAGCATCTCTGATTCTAACTGTGATCGATCCTTCAGGGCTTTGGCCTTAAGTGATTTTAAAATTAATTTATGGCTGGATTTGTCTAAAACATACTATTCTTGCCAAGTGTGGTGTCACACACCTTTAGTTTCAGCACTTGGGAGGCAGAGGCTGGTGGATCTCTATGAGCTCCCGCGAGCCTGGTCTACACAGCGAGACTCTGTATTTAAAATAAATTTTAAAAACTACCACTCTTGTGATGCCAATTCTTTGGGCTGCCTCTGTGGCCGCCCCAGCCTACCGCGCTGATGCAGGGTCTGCACGTGACCAGCATGACTTCCTGTCTGAGTCACCTGCAAATGCCTGGCTGTCTCCACACAGGAAGGGCCCACTCGGTGGCAAGGTATGTGCCAAGCAGACTCCCAAACCGGTGGACTCTTTCTCTGGCTTCTGGGAAAGACTTAAAAACCGGCATCAGTAGCACCTGGACTCTAAGCTGCCTAGGCACCCTGGGCTTCAGTTTCCCCAAACTACCCCGGACTCTCCAATAGTAACATCGCTACATAAGTAATAAGGAGAGCGCTCACAACAGCTGATTTCACGTGTTCATTTCAGCGGAGTGTTTGACTAAACACTGCTCTCGGGTGTCTGTGAGGAGTTTCTGCTAAGAGTCCCCTTTCAGTCGGGAGACTCAATAAAGCAGACTGCCCTAGCCAGGAAAGGCGGGCCTCTTCAACCTGCTAAGGCTTAAACAGACATGTGGCAGAGACTCTGGTCTCCCTGTCTCCAGCAGTAACCTGAGCATCCCGCCAGGAGACCAAACCTGGGCTGGGGCTTACACCATTAGCCTCCTGGTTTCCAGCCCCCTGGCTTTCCTGGCTCCCATTTGCTAACTGTAGACCTGTGCATTCCTTAACCTCCCAGATGGTGTGAGTCAGTTCCCTCACTTCACATAGATATAAAAAAAAAGCACATATAATTATATATATACTATAGCTCATAATTCTATTACATACTTAGGTCTAATAATATTAAAAATTATTTGTTGTAAATAATTTATACTTTAATATAAATACAACTGTTTGAATTATGATTATGAATATATTATAAATTATGTATCATAATAGTATACAGTAATGAGATATGATTATAATAATATAGTGGATACATATATATGCGTGTGCACATGCACACACGCACGCGTGCACACACACACTCCTTATTGTTTGCTTTTCCAGAAGACTGACAGTAATCTGTGTGGTGGAAGAAAGTGATGGGATCCTGACATCACCCCTGTCTTGGCCTTGGTTTCAGAGTGAAGGCTGGGTACAGTGTGGACCAGAGCTGGCTAATACCCCACTGGGCTGCATACAATGTGAACGCCTCCCTACCAATACGAAAGGACAGTCTGAAATGTAAGCGAGATAATGGGTAAACCTCTCTGCCCTGGATGCTGTGAACGCCATTACCCAACTTGCTCCCTGCACCTCCAGAGAAGACCACCTTTTGCCCTGTGGACTCAGAGAGAAGGAACATCTCTCTTCATACTGAGGCCTGGCTACGAGTATGAGGGCACAGCTGGGCTGGCAGCAGCGTGGCTATCCGTGGGGAGATGATTAAAGGAAAGACTTACCCTTGATCCCAACGAAGACGGTCAGTCCAAAACAGAGGAAGAAAACGACAAACACGAGGACAAAGTGGCGCTTGGAGAGGGTGTAGAGCCGCATGGGCGCCAGCCTGCGGAGCAGAAACCGGGAGTGAGGACAGTTGGCTCTCCCACATCGGTAGCCCCTGCCCAGGCTAGCACGACCACAGCGCATCAGACCTGTTCCTCCTCAGCCTGTGCTGGCCCCAGAAGCACACTGCTCCTGGTAACCTCTCAAGGGTGGGCCGTCTGTCGGTTTTCTGTCAGTCACTGCCACTCTGGCCTGCCTCACACAGGTGGAAGAATGAATGCATGGTGGTTTCCATGCCAAGGAAAAATGTCACCACGCCAAGGAAGTGACCTAACCTTTTACATAGCCCACTTCTAGCTTCCAGAGTAGAGCCATAGCTCAGATCAACAAGGAGCCTGACTCTATTTAGCCATCACTGCCAAACCCAGAGAGAGACTACCAGGGACCAGAGGCACCAGCCATTTCCATCTGGTCTACCTCATGCTCAGAGTCCTCGTCCTCCACCCAGGTGAAAAGAGCCCACCCTTCCCAGAGAGAGCGCCCAACTCCTCCACACTCCTGTGACCTACAGGAACATAAAGGCCCTTCGAGAGGTTGATCCCCGGATGTAACTACACTTCCCTCAGAACAAAACATGGGGGGCAGGGACACCAGAAGGACAGTTCCGCAGCTAGCAAATCATGGACTGCTCTAGCAAACGTCCCAGGGCGCACATCAGCGGCTCACGATTGCCTGTGCCTCTGGCTCCAGGAGACCTGATGCCCTCTTGGCATCCGTGGGCAAAACTACACACACCACAGAGCCCACCCCTGCCACTGACACATGTGCACACACACAATTTAAAAATGAAGATGCACTCAATGCAGCAAGCACACAAGGCGGTAAACCAAAGAACTCTGTAAATTCCCAGTCTTGCGAAACACTGGGACTCTGCAGCCTCAGAGCTGTGCCCTTCAGCGTGGTCACGGTCTCACAATCACACAGCAACGTTTGTACTCCAATTAGCTTCACTAATAAAAAGCAGTGTTGACAGAAGTGGCCAACCCCAAGAAAGAGTCCTAAGGAGGGGGCTGACCCCCAGGGGAGGAGCTGGGGCAGGAGGTGGGGTTTGCTTGCTGGCTGCACTGCACCTGTGGTCCTGCTGCTTAACTTGGAAGCTGAAAGCAACAGGAAGGCTAAGTCAACTGGGGGGTAGGGGTGTGGCCTGGAGACCCAGGGTAAGGTTACCCGCCAGCTTGGGCTCACAGTGCACACCCCTTCCTTCCACATGTGCCTGAGACTCCAGATGGCAGGCAGGAAGTCAACCCTGGGGCAGGGCAGTCTAAGCACAAAGGTGAGGCCTGGGAGCCGCTGCCGCTCTGACGTGGCACCTGACGAATACCTGAGTGGCCTGGCTGACTCTCAGACCATTGTCAATGCATTCGGTGAAAGACGGATTGAAACCTGGAGGTTTCCCTGGGACTCTGGGCTGTTGGCAGGGCAGGAGAAGCTCAGACAGGCTCTCCCGTATCAGAGACAGAACTGCTCTGGGAAGGAGACAGGTTTCTTTGTAAACTATAGTTCTCACTCCAAAGGGCACAAGAGAGAGTTTGCTCCAAGTTAAACATGAGTGACCATGGGCCAGGCACATTGGATTCATATTGATTTGATGATATCCTCCACTATTGAAGTGGTTACATCAACTTTTGTGGGTTTGTTTTTCGAAACAAGGTTTCTTTGTAGCTTTGGAGCCTGTCCTGGAACTACCTCTCATAAACTGGCTGGCCTTGAACTCACAGAGATCCGCCTGCCTCTGCCTCCCAAGTGCTGGGACTAAAGGCGTGCGCCACCACCTCCCGCTGTTCTTACGTCAACTTTTATCAGTCAATACATTTCCCGAATACATTAGTGGAGACACCAGGCGGGCAGGTCATACAGGCTCAGGAGCTGTCTGATGGGATTCTTAGCTTCGGGATTGGTGGGCCCTAATGGCTGCGTCTTAGGGTTACTACTGAGGCGCTGAAAAACCATGACCACAGCAACTTGGGAGGAAAGGGTTTATTTGGTTTCTGCATCTACATCACTGTTCCCCATCAGAGGAGGTCAGGACGGAAACCTAAATAGGGCAGGACCCTGGAGGCAGGAGCTGATGCAGAGGCATGGAGGAGTGCTGCTTACAGACTTGCTCAGCCTGCTTTCTTAAAGAACCCAGGACCACCTGCCCAGAGATGGCACCACCCACCAGGGGCTGGGTCCTCCCCCATCAATCACTAATGAAGAAAATGTCCTACAGGCTTGCCTACAGCCCAATTATATGGAGACCTTATCTCAGGCAAAGTTCCCTCCTCTCTGATGACTCAAAGCTGTGTCAAGTTGACATAAAAGCAATCAGGACAGCCTGTTACTATATCGCAAAGGCTTCAGCCTAAGGTAAAACAGTGTTGGAACGGACACAGAGGTAGTGGCAGTGGCTGGAGAGGGAGAGCAGTGAGGGGGACTCCAGCCCCCAGGCATTCTGCAGAACCTTCACAGGTGTGGCTTTTCCGGGGACTTTCAGCTCACGCCTAGGATTTACAGACAGGAAAGCTGAGATCTGGGGGTGACAGACCTGTCCAAGTTGTCACAGCCACGCTTCCCTGGAGGGAGGAGGCTCTGGGAGACAGGACCCAGTTAATGCCCACCTGGAAAAGCCCCAAGGAACGTGCTGGCAGATGAGTGGGTGTCCCTCTTGTCCTTCTGGGACCCAGGTGCCTATTTATTTAGACAGTCTGTTTGGATATATTTTTGTTTTAAGACTGAAAGGAAGGGACAGTTTTGAGGCAACTGCATAGGATATTTCCACGAAGAAATCAAACTTTACACAAAGCTAAGCAGACTGGGTGGTGGAAGAAAGAGTGCGAACAGCATTAGTTAACGGCATCTCACCCACGTTAATGATGCCAACTGAGACAAAGGTGCCGGGTCACAAGAGACTTCCCTATGCCACTTTCCTACGGATTGAAAATGGTTTCTAGAACTCTCAGAGCCATTTGTGAACTATGACTGCACTATGTTCAGAGTGACCCGATCTTGCTAGTAGATCAGAGACGAAGCAGCATGGAGAACTCCGTAGGTGAAGGCAAAAGCAGAGGCTTGGAGGCAGAGACATCAAAGGAAGATTTTTAAACTTGTAGTTAAAAATGCATCACTTGGCCATGTATCATGGTGTGTGCCTTTAATCCCAGCACTCTGGAGGCAGAAGCAGGTGGATATCTGTAGGTTCGAGCACAACTTGAACCACATAGCAAGTATGAGGACAGCCAGGGCTACATAGAGAGATCCCATCTCAACAAGCAAACAAATGCACCACTGACTTCCTGAATGCATGGTTACTTAGCGGACAAGAAGCCGGGGCTCAGTCCCCAGCACTGTGCTGGGAGTCAGGAGCACAGACAGTTCCCTTGCCCCAGATCACACAGCTACCACACAGCAGCATCAGACCCAAGCATTGCGCTTGCTTCCCAGCACAGTCCAGCCAGACTCCAGTCGAGTCCACTCACACTGTTTCCCTGATCTGAAACCTCTTCTCCCCAAGCCACGGAAATCCTAGACTCAGTCTCCCACCTTCTCATGACACTTTCCTTAGGTACTCCATCTCTCGTGGCTGTCCACGTTGTCTCCACTACAAAGGGAACTTAGTGCCTAAAGACATTACCTGGCTTGTTGGGGCTGCAGACCCTGTGACCCTTTGCCTGCTGGAGTGAGCAGAGTAAACAACTTGTTTTCCTGTGCCTGCTGTGAGCATGAGACCCTCATGAGTTCCTGATAGTAGGGGAGTGGTTTCTGGTGGGTTTTACAGCTGAAAATCCCAAGAGCTGGGGTGTGCTATCAGCTAAGGATCCCTATATAAGCTTCCCTGGAGCACAATAAAGTTGGCATTCTTGTTTCAAGGATGACCCATGCTCTGTGTGTGTGTTTCAATCTCTAGCCCCTTGCCTGGTATGTAAACTGTCACTTGGTGCAGGTGCTACAGGTGGAGAGACCCCCAGCAAGATTGGAAACTAGGGATTCCTGAGAGATGGCCCTCAGAAGGTTGGCCAGCAAGTAAGAGATTGATGGTGGGGGTGGACTGAAGATGGGTGCCAGTAATTCTGCTCAGGTATTGACCAGTCAATTGATAGTTGTTTTAGAGAAACAGGGCACCACTATTGAGACAGCACAAGAGTTTATTAAGGCAGTTTTAGAGTCTAGTCCTTAGTGTTCACAGGCAGGGGGGTTTAATATTCCTGATTGGGAGCAGGTAAAAGTTGACCTTCAAAAAGCTTTACAAGAGAGAGGGACAGAAGAATTTCCTATGGCAATATTTTTGCTATGGCATTTAGTCAAAGATGCTCTTCTCAGCGACAATGTAAAAGTGAAGGAACAATTAGACAATTTAGCCAAAACCTTTGAGGAAATTCAAGTATTTGCCCAAAATATCAAAAGGAGCCACTGGGCTAATGAGTGCCTCTCTAGAGCCAACATTCAAGGAGATCCCCTTCTCGTGTCGGGAAACAGGAGGAGAGGCCTGAGGACTGGGAAAATTAGACAGGACAGAACAGGGTTGGAAAAGTTTATTTTGAGGGCCACTGTTGAGCCACAAGTTGCAACTCCCATCAAATGGAGGGAAACTAGGCCAGTGTGGGTGGAACAGTGGCCCCTCAGGAGAACAGCTACTGGCTGCTCAGCAACTGTGCAAGAACAGTTAGTCCCATCCCCTTACCCCCTTATGTGTTATCAAAAAAATCTGGCAGTTGGCAACTATTGCAGGGCCTTAGGCAGGTTAACAAATGTGTGGAAATCATGGGATCATTGCAGCCAGGACTGCCAAGACCTGTGGCTATCCCTAAGAATTACCACATGGTGGTGACTGACCTCAAGGACTGCTTTTTTACTATTCCTTTGCATCCTGAGGACTCACCCAAATTTGCTTTTAGTGAGAGAGCCGTACCAAAGGTATCAATGGGTTATGATGCCTCAGGGCATGGCTGATAGTCTAACTTTGTCCGTTTATGTTTCCAGGGCCTTGTGGGCCCTATGGGAACAACATCCCCAGCTATGTCG